AAAAAAAAAAAAAAAAAAAGACAGTATCTCACTTTGTCACCCTGAGTAGAGTGCCGTGGAGTCCTAGCTCACAGCAACCTTAAACTCTTGGGTTTAAGTGATCCTCCTACCTCAGCCTCCCAAATAGCTGGGACTACAGGCATTAGTCACAATACCTGGCTATATTTTAGAGACAAGGTCTCACTCTTGCTCTGAGCTCATCTGAGCTCATCTCAAACTCCCAAGCTCAGGTGATCCATTTGCCTTGGCCTCCTAGAGTGCTAGGATTATAGGTGTGAGTCACCTCGCCTGGCATAGAATAACTTTATCATTGATCACCATGTGGCTCTGAGACTAGGTTCTACCTCATTGGCTTCATATTTGTTTCACACATAAGTGGCATCCACAGCTCAGTGGACAGGGTGCCAGGAACATGCACCAAGGCTGGTGGATTCGAACCCAGCTCGGGCCTGCTAAAACAAACAAACAAAAAAAATAGCTGGGTATTATAACAGGTGCCTGTAGTCCCAGCTACTTGGGAGGCTGAGGCAAGAGAATCACTAGAGCCCAAGAGTTTGAAGTTGTTGTAAGCTATGACACCACAGCACTCTACTGATAGCAACAAAGTGAGACTCTGTCTCAATAAAAATAAATAAAGAAATAGCCAAACATGGTACTTTGCACATATCTGGCAGGTGTTTAATGAACATTCATTAGACAAAGGAAGAAATACAACTATAACTGGGTTGTGCATCCCCATTGGATAAAAGTGTGATTCTTTTGAAGACAGAAGAAAAGATCGGTAGAATATAGTCTGTTAAACTCAAAAGATAAAAAGGAATGGTTTCAGAAACACAGTGACACTAGGAAAGCTTATTCCTTCATCCCTTTACCCAACAAATATTTACTGAACACCTATTTACCACCCCCTGTTCCAGATGGCAGAGATACAACAAAAGAAACAGATGAACTCCCCTATCTTCATGGAATTTACATTAAAGCAAAGGAGTTAAAAGCATAGGCCTTGGGGTCCAGTTTTCAAATCCAGCCCCCTCAGCCCACTTCACCAGCGGAGGTGTTAATACCAAGGTCATTCACTGCTGCGCTTGCTCACCTTGAAAATGGAGATAATAGGCCGGGCGTGGTGGCTCACGCCTGTTGTCCCAGCGCTGTGGGAGGCCGAGGCGGGTAGATCACCTGTGCTCAGAGGTTCAGACCAGGTGAAGACCTGCCTGAGGCAGAGTGAGCCAGAGCGAGACCCCATCTTTACAACAGCAAGACAGCCGGACTTTGTGATCTCAGCTACAGGGGGGGCAAGAGAACAGTACAGGAGGAAGAAGTAAAGAAAGAAAAGAAAATGGAGATAATAGTACCTGTCTTAACAGTATTACTTATGAGGATTAAATAAGACTCCATGTAAAGCAATTAGCAGAGTACCTGGCTCTTAGTAGATTGTTAATAAATTATGTACTCTAATCATGGCCACACCCAAATTTGTCCCATCATGTTCCTATTTGTTTCTCCCAAAACCCTTATGTCAGTTGGCAGTTATCTTGCCTGCTTGTTTACTATATGACTCTTGCACTCCTCCCAAATGTTCAACATTAACCAGATGGCAAAGTTCACTAGACAGAGGTAACCCCACATAATCACTATAGATGAAGTCCTTTACTGTTTACTAGAGAAAACAGTAGAAATCTTCTTTTACTAGAAAGAAAAGAGGAAATGAAGGGTGCTACATCTAATAATGACCACATTCAACCAGGCAGAATTCCAGGCCTAGAGTCCTCAGTGAGCTATCACCAGGAGGGGAGCAGGAAAATGAAGACCTGGAGGCCTTTGGAGATGGTGAGAGAAGGGAGACCATGTTTTCCCACTTCATAATAATTAAGGCTGGCCTGCTGCTCCATGTGTCGGGAGTGTCAGCTGGACAAGTAACTCTCTTAAAACTTCTCAGCCGATGAGAACTTCCACTCAACAGAGGAAAAGTGTGCTACCTTGTTTCTTACCCATTGCTTAGCCCCCTGAGCCCATGGGGAGTTTATAAGTGGCCTCGAGCCCAGACCAGGCCTTAAGTCCGCAGTTCCCTGGTCTCTCATTCGTCTGAGATCAGGTTCCATGTACCAAGTACAAAAACATAGTGATGTGGTTTATAACTAAAATTAAACAAACATGCCAGGCGTGGTGGCTTCACATCTGTAGTGGTAGTGCTTTGGGAGGTTGAGATGGGAGGACTACTTGGGAGGAATCTGAGACCAGCCTGAGCAACATGATGAGATTTTGTCTCTGCAAAAGAATTTTTTAAAAATTAGGCAGGCATGGTGGTGCATGCCTATAGTTCCATCTACTCAGGAGCTGAAGCAGGAGATTTTCTTGAGCCCAGGAGTTTGAGGTTGCAGTGAGCTATAATCACATCATTGTACTTGAGCCCGGGTAGCAGAGTGAGACCCTGTCTCTAAAAAATAAAAAATTAAAATTAATTTAATTAAATGAACAAAATGAGAATGTAACATTAGCTGGCATTTAGTACATGCTTACGATGTGCCAAGCACATTGTAAGTATGAGCTCACTCTACCCAATTAGCCTATGAGGTAGGTCCTGTTATTAACTCACTTGACCAAACAGAAAATAAGCCTTTATAGAGGCTAGGAAAGTTGCCCCACATCACAATCTAGAACCTGGCAGAATCACAATTCAAACCACACAGTCTTATTCCAGGGCTCAACTCTCCCCATGCTCCTATAATGCAGAAAAATACAAATATGCATCCAGGTCCTGCCTACATGAAGCCCACAGCACAGCAAGGGAACAAGTATAGACCCTGGTTTTAGCCACAAAAATCTTAGTTGTTCAGTTCACATCTCAACACAGCTTTTGAGGATTCATTTAAACAACAGATAGATGTACAACTTGCACAGCTGAGAATGTTCCTGCTGATGAATGAAACAAAACTACTACAACCAAAGATAGAGGACAATTACTTAACTCTCTTAAAACTGGAAGTGACTCATTAAGGAAATATTTTCTCATTCTTACATGGGTACTAATGGCTAAAAATGAAAGGACGTGTATCTGTAGCTGAGAAAACAGCATTCATCACATCTGAACAACAGCAGGACATGAGAAAGCAGAATTCTATCTGAAGTCCTGGGAAATTCAGTTTCATATTTGCTAGCTTGAGACGCTCCTCTCAAAATTCCCCATGATAACATTCCAAGTAAGCCTAAAGGTAGTTCTGACTCATTCTAAGAGAAAGTTAAGAAGCTGCAAAACTGAAAATAGAATGACGGGTCCTCTCAAGGAAGAGGTAAATAATTAAACAGAGTATCACTCCACTGATCTAGGCTCCTCTCATTGTCTTCTGATGGTATCACCAGTGATTCAGTTTGAGTCAGGCATCTGACAACAACTGAACAAAGGAATCAAATTCAGATCTAAATGGTGGTCACACAGAGGTGGACCAGACTTAGGTCAGCACCCAGAGGAAAGGGCAGCAGAACTAAGTGACACATGGCTAGGACAATGGCTGAAGCCTCTCTATATGAACATGCATTTATCACATTTTTACCTTTCCCCAGGAAAGCTTCTGCAGTCTATATAAAGGTGAAATGATAAGGCATCCAAGAGCATCTGAAGCCAGAATGCCTTCCTTATTATAACTGTCCCTCTAGACTCCTCCCCATCAGAACATTTGGAACAAAAAAGCAACTTTCAGAGACAATGCTATATGTTCCCTAGATCCATTTCATTTTCCTCCCAACACATGGCCAGACTAATTCCTCCATGTCCACTACATGCCATAGGACTGAGTTCTGACCCATGGCATTGGTGAAGGGGTGGAAATGATGCATATCACTTTCAGGCCCAGTCCTTAAAATCTCCTATGACACCCTCCCTATACTCTCTCTCCCCTCATCTACCAGCCAAATGCAGAGGACCCTGCAGAAAACTCCAAAACCTCAGAAGATGATGGAGCCACTGAATGACCAAAGGAAACAAAGCTCCCCTGGTCCAATCTACACTAGACTGTAAGATGAGTGAGAAAAAAGACATCCACCATGTTGAACCACAGATTCTTGCGGGGGTTTGTTACAGCAGCTAGTGTTGATCACGCTGATGAATACCACTGCTTGTGCCATGATCACACTGTAGGATACCAGTTAATCTGCAGCTTCCACACCTACCTGCATTATTGCCAATGCAATCAATTATCAGGCAGACTCCTAGGGGCTTGCTCTGCATCCTGTATCTCTCTTCAGGTATGTGCTACAAAGGAAGGTAAGGACTGTTAAAGACTCCAGCTACTGCTCTGTTCCCCTAAGGCCCACCCATACTATCTCTTCTTTTGGATTTCCTTAAGCATCCCTTGGGCAGGTGAGTCACTCAATAGACAACCTGAAGTTTTCCCATCACAGCTGACATTTGCCATTAATATCACGTTTTACCTCTATTAGGGTAATGTGCTTAAGACGAGTTATTTCAGTTTTTATTTAATTTTATGAAAACTGCAACCTCTTTACCCATGTCTAACCTTAGCAGAATAAAGAGAATTTGAAACTGCCAGAAAAGATGGGTCACACATCTCCACAGTAACCTCAGGCTATACAGGTGATATCTTTCCAAATCTGTACAAAAGGAGGCCTTCCATTGCCTCTTCTTACAGAGAAGAGGTATTAGCCTAAGAAAAAGCCAGCATAGGCTCGGCGCCTATAGCTCAACCGGCTAAGGCTCCAGCCACGTACACCTAAGGTGGTGGGTTCAAATCCCCAGCCCGGACCCGTCAAACAACAATGATGGCTGCAACCAAAAGATAGCCGGGTGTTGTGGTGGGCGCCTGTGGTCCCAGCTACTTGGGAGGCGGAGGCAGGAGACTCGCTTGAGCCCAGGAGTTGGAGGTTGCTGTGAGCTGTAATGT